CTGGCTCCTGGGTGGGACAAAGCTCTGGGCGTGGCTCTCCATGCTGGACCTCAGTTGGGTCCTACCTTTGCCTGCCTGGCCTGTGAAATTCGGGTACCCCTGCCTTCCTTCCCCATGTCACAGGCCACGGTTTGCACATGGCAGCACAGATAGCAGGTGAGAAAAGGGAATCAGCTCAGCACTTGGGTACTATCCTGGTTCCAGGATTTACAAGCTGTGTGATCATAGTCAAGTTACTTAACTTCTCTATATCTCCAATATTTCAACTGTACCATGGAGATAAGGATTAGCAGTTATGAGAACTAAATGACTCTAGAATTAAATGGCTAGAACATTGCCTGATAAATAACACATGCTCAGCAAATATTAGCTTTCAGTTGCATTATTAATACCCTTTGTCTGGAAATGAGGCCACCATGTGCAGTCCTTATTCCTCTTAGTGGGACTCTGTAGTGGGACTCTGTAGAACTTACTAACCATGGCCAATGAATTGTGCTGGCAAAAGCTTCTGGGGCTTTATAAACCCAGAGACCTCTCCCACTCTGAACTTTTCAGTGACCCGATCAATCTCCCTTGCCCCCAAGATGTAGGGATTGTTCCTAGTAGTACTTGCACTTGGGCACCTTGTGTAGATCCCAGGGGCTAACAGTTGAAGTATGAGGTGCTGTGACATGATATAAAAGGTAGACTGTCTTTTGTCTGAAGCCTTCCCTTCTCTTTCTCTCCTTCTTCACTTACTTGTCATTCTTCCACAAGTGCCCAGCCTATACAGTGTCTGTGTGGTAGATACCAACCCCTGTGCTTTGGCTGACAGTACAGAAACACACAGCTATGGTCCTGGCCAGGGAAGCCAAGGGGAAAGGCAGGTCCATGCATATCATCTTAGCCAGGTGGTCTGCAAAAGGCAGGGGCTGTGGGGACACGTAGGAGTGACTACCTGGGCCTGGGGAGGTGGGAGGCTTCGTGGAGCTAGGTCATGCAGGATACGTAACAGCTTGGCAGAGCCATACGATCGGCACAGAAAGGAGAAGCCTCGAAGGTCCAGGGAGCAGCACCTGCCAAGGAACGGGGTGGGAGGGTTGGGTGCACTTAGAAAGTCCTGGAAGAAGCTCTGGAGCATTAGATTCTGGTAGAGGAAGAGGCGAGAGGTGACTTTGATGCTGGAGACACGGGCAGGGGCCAGGTCCTAGAGGGTTTCGTGTGACCTTTGTCAATATTACTGGGAGACATGGAGGAATTCTCAAAGCAGGGAGAGTTGTGAACAGCTTTGTGGATTGTAGAGCTCCTTTTAACTGGGGGGAAAGGGGACTGGAAGGGGCCCAGAGGTAGGTGGCAGTGGTCTGATGATGGTCTGGGATGGGGTGAAGACAGGTGGGTAGAGTTGATATGGAAACACTCACAGGCCCTGGTGAGTGAAAGTGGCTCCCACAACGAACCCCAAGTCCTAGCCATGCTTTAATGCACCCACACAGCTCCCACTGGCTGGCAGGGTAGCCACAGCTTGAGCCATCAGGGCTCTCCTCAAACCACCCTCCTGGCCCTGCTCGAGTCTGTGCATGGGAAATGAGCCCATTACGGGCCTGGGAACCAGGACATCACAGGCCTTGCAGCAGGACAATTCCCCCAAGCACCCCAGTGAGAGGAGGAAGGAGCCCGCAGCACACAGAAACACCACGCTGTCCAGTTTGTAATGGCTTTTATTAATATATTATGCTACAAAAATATTTTTGGCAAAATAACATTAATAGCATCTTTCTTTGTCTTCTATTATACTCTTAGAGAACTCTTCATGACAATTCACAGCGGTGAGGAAAGAGTGATTAAAGAACAACACCAGGAGTACCTTCCCAATACACTGAGAGCAGAAGCGTGCGTGGTGCAGTGGGGCATGCTGGGGACCACCAGCAATCTCTGTGAGCCTCAGAAAGGGCTGCAGCCTCCTTTGACCAAGAGCTGACCTACCCATCCCAGTCAGCAGAGACCCAAAAGTTCTGAGAGCCCTTTGTCTGGGCAGCTTATGGGAGATGTCTTAGACTTGAGTCCATTCAAAGTTCACTTTCCCCACAGCAGGACTTGGGATGGAGGGGCCTGCAAGCCATGTCATCCTTCCTGCCTGCCAACTTCTCCCATCACATGCAGCCTGGGGGGAAGCCTAACCCTGAGCCCGAGGAGGAAGTGAACCTCACCTTCACAGATCCTCCAGATGTCCCTGGCACCCTCCTTCCTATCACCAAGAATCAAGGTCTCCGTGTACCAGATAAGGAAATGGAGGCTCTGGGGGGGCAGGCACTTGCCCAAGGTCACCTATCACAGTGAAGTATCCAGAGTAGCTCTGGAGAGCAATAGGCCAGCTTACCTTTGAAGAAAGGGTGTGGACAGGGGACACTCCTGGGAGGGGCCAGGTAGGACCCAATCAGGTTTTTGTGAACCTTCTCCTCTCTCCCCCAGGTCAGGTGACAGAGAAAGAAGGAGCCTCGGGGTGTGGAGGGGTCTGGGTTCCAAGCAGCGCTCTCCCCCCTCCTGGTGCTCCTGGGCCGGCAGGCGACTCTGCCAGCTTGCAGCTGGCCTGGCTGGGCTCTTGAAGGATGAGGGTGGGGTGCGGGGGAGGAGGGACTGATTCCTGAGCCCTATTGGTTTAGACAGCCAGCTGGGGTGATAGTTTTGGCTGCCTAGATGAATTTTTGGAAAAATAACAATGTTCAAAGAACCTGAGCATTACAGAGCCAGGAGGCGCCCTCAATGTCACCTACACCAGCTCCTTGCCAAGACTTCAACTTGCTACCGCATCTCCAGGTCCCTGGCCCTGCTTGTTCCCCTCCACAGCAGGCAGCTCCCCACTTGCGGGCACTGCCCTCCACCAGCTCGGGCTTGGTGAAAGCTATTCCATTAGCAGAGCTAAATCTGTCTCTCTTCTTTCCTACCATCATGCCTTTCTCCCTTCTCCCCCTCTTTCCAGCTCTACACATTTATTGAGCACCACCGTTGTGTGGGATGAGAATACAAAGACAATTTCACATGACCTCTGCCATGACGTTACCTGCAGTCCCACAGGGGAGCAGATTCGCAAGCAGATAGTTATAACAGTGGGCAGTGGGTATTATGAGATGCTGAAAAAGCACAGCGGAATCACAGGATGCTTCCTGGAGGAGGTGCTGAGGTGATCTTTACATGATAAGATGTTAGGGGGACTAAGGCAGCACTGGTCTAGGAAGAAGCATGTATGAAACATCCTGTCTACTCTAGAAATGACAACTATAATTCCTTTTGGTCAGGCACAGGGTGGGACAGATGAGATGTGGCTGGCAAGCTTAGTAGGGCCAGGTCACGAAGGTCTAGAACAGCCAGTGAAGGGTTCGGGTTCTTATGTCACCATCGCTGAAAAATTATCACCAGCCCCCATTTTTTTAAAAAAATGTAACATTTAAAATTTTTTTTCCAGTACCAGGGATAGAACTCAGGACCTTGTGCTTGCCAGGCAGGCACAGTGCCACTGAACTACATCCCCGGCCCACTAGCCCCAATTCCGTTCTGTGCTACACAGGATACCTTCAAAGCTACAACTTCTGGGTAAAACTTTTCTTGTCCTTCATGGTGCTTCCTCTTGGTAGAGGGGCTTTTTGCTCATCTCTGAGACCTCAATGGCTCTGGGCTGGAGGCTGGGCTGGTAGGGTGAGTGGCCTGAGTTCCTCAGCTTTGCCTAGTCTAAATGAAGCTGGGACGCCATCTTCATGAAGGAAGTGTAGTCTGGGTCTTTCAGAATAAGGACAGCAGAGGGACTCTAGATCTTTGACCCTCAGCATCAGAAGGGTACTTAGCTGCTCTTTGTGGCTCCCAGGAAGCCTGGTTCTTATGCCTGTGCTGCAGATAAAGAGGCTTTCCCTGCCTTCATGGCTGCTGGTATGTTAGACCAGTTGCTGGAGACACGGCCACTGTGACCGGCCCTGGAGAGCTGTTTGGCCCTACTGTCAGCTTTCCTGAGAGACAGGGTGCCTGCGGCCACCTGGAACATATGGTGCCCACTTTTAGGCAGGCCACTTAATAAACTGGGTCTTGGGCTTCCTGTCTTTCCTGCCTGCCTCAAGGTCAAATATGGAACTGTTAAGAAATGCACATGCTGCTCTCAAAGAGACAGGGGCATTTTATGAGCCTAGACAGGTAGAACATTCCAAAGGTTTGAGTGGGTGCTTATGGAATGGGGGGGCTCTGAAACAGGAGGAGAGAATTCTAGTGCCCCCCTGCAGATTCCTCTTACGTGCCTCAGGTCTCCTGTGACAAAAGTCAGCAAGCTGAGTTCCTCTCAGACTCTGGCTAGCTGGTTGTCCTTGGGATCAGTGAACTTTGGCTCCATATGTCTAACCCACATTGGCTCTGGTTCTCTGCTTGGCACACGTCTATCTAATCGAATGGTCCATCCATCTTTTCTTACTTGAATGTTTGGGTGAGGGAGACTTTAGAATACTCAGTCTGCCTAAAGGAGGAATCGGGAAAGATGAAGACTGAATCAGCCTGAAGTCTGGGGCCATGACAGTGTAACCTAGGACATGAGGCTGCTTGTCCCATCTTGTGAGTGAGTTTCTCTCAGCCAAACCGGGTGGTTACACTCACTCCACGTGCAGCAAGCCTGGCACTGCATGTGCACAGTAATTACATGCTGTGTTAATTCATCTTTTTGGCCCTGTGCCTGGCACAGATCTGGGCACACGATCAGGTGCCTGGCCTGTTTCCCTGAATACTTCATCTTTAATTAACCTCGAGCTTGCTCTCCATACGTCTCAGGCCATACTTTGCCCAAACAGAGGGGAATTTGGCCTGTGTGTTTCTAATTCTTTTACACTTATCTCATCCCAAGAGTGCTCTGCACGATCTGTTTGATGTCCAACTTCTGAGCCTGCTTTGTAAGTCCAGCTAAGCCCTGTCCTGCTCAGAAATAGGAAGTCATTTCTCTTTCTTTCTTTCTTTCTTTCTTTCTTTCTTTCTTTCTTTCTTTCTTTCTTTCTTTCTTTCTCTTTCTTTCATTTTGCCAATGATAAACTGACTATAGCCCTGGCTGAGGTCAAGTTCAGTTTAGAATTTGATGCCCATGGGGCTGGCTGGACCCTCTGAAGCAGAGATTTAGGCTTCTGCCAGGTCTTACGTTCAAATTTGTCCATTGGGGCTGAGCTGGAAAGAATTCAGCTGCCTGCCAGGATTCCCGTGGACCTCTGACCATCCAACAAGCTGCCCAGAATTTTACTATTTCAGGAGAGGCAGATGCCATGCTAGGCATAATGGCACTTGGGCCATTCAGGTGTCATCAAGCTTGCCAGGGAAACCTATGTACAGTGAGGCAGAGAAGCACTGGGCTGGGGTCAGCTGGCATGCCCAGCTGTGCTGCCTTGGGGAAGTGTTTCCCTTTCTGAGCCTGAGTATTACTCTTACTGTTTCTGTGATCTGATAAGTGAGAGGTCTTTGCTGCTTTCAGGATCTAGGGCTCTGTATGTAATTACAGAGCCAACAGCCCAGCTGAGGTTCAGGGCTGGGCTGGCCCACCTGGGTCTTTAGCCAACACCCTAGGGAGGGGAGGGGTCAGGTAAGTCATGCTGAGTCTTGGCTGCACGTCTCCTGGCGCTGGTAGCTGTCTCTTAGGGACTCCAAGGCTGTGCCCCACCTTACCCTCTGATTTGGCAAGAAAACCTCTTCTGGATCCAACTGGGACAAATTGGGGCACTGGACAAATAGTACATGCTATTGCCAGAGCCCTTTGGTTACAGGGACCATCAGGAGCACTGGTCAAACAGTGCCTTTGGCTGGCCTGGGGAGCTGGTCCCAGGGTGCGTGGAGCTTCCCTGGGCAGAGCAAATATGCCAGAACACGGTCCCTAACACAAGAGGCACTCGGTGTCACACTGATCTGAAGCTATGTGACCTTGGGCAAGTCCCTTTGCCTCCTCGGGGGGTTCAGTTGCCCCATCTGGGAAATGGAGATCATTATACTTCACAGCACTGGTGTGAGGAGCCATGAGGAAGCGAGTGTGCAAAGTACCCACCAGTACTGCAGGCTCTGGACAAGCAGCAGTTCTCATCGCCATTGTCATCACTGTAACCAATGACCCTTACAGCCCCTCTCCCTAGAACTGCCCTCTGTGCCCACTCCTGTCCTTCGGCTCAGCTTATTCCACTCAGCCTGACGTCAACAGCCCCTCTGACCCCAGCTGGAGACAGCAGTGGAACAGAGGCCTAGAGCTACCTGCTCACTTGCTCTGTGACCTGGGGCAGCCCCACCTTGCTCTCTCTGAATCTCAGTGTAACTATTCGTTCTGTGGGACTGGGAGCTGCCTCTCTTGACACCCAGCACCGCCTCTCCCATCCCACCCCTGCGCTTTGGTTGAAACACTCACCTAGCGCTCTGGAGGGCCAGTTCACAGACGCGCAGGGGTTGATAATAGCAGCATTCTCTTTCCTAATGTAACTTCCCAGGCCTGGGATACATCCCAGGGAGGGGGAGACAGGCAGCATTCACACCTCTGCCTCCTAAATCCAGCTTCACAAAAGCTAAGCACGTCTGCCTGTCCCACCCTTGGCAGTCCCCGTGGTGGGGAGCCAAGCCTGACCCAGGAGGTTTGGAGATCCAGGAGCAAGCCAGTTCAGAGCCAGGCTCAGCACGGGTCACAAGTGGCTTGGCAACCTGGATTCCTCTTTGGGTTGATGTTAGGGCTAATTCAGGGGTTATAACATAGGCCACATAAAAATAGTTTTATCGGTAGAATAAATACATTTTTTCTCTTTTAATATGGACACATATTTTACAAAAGAGCCCCATAGCACTATGGGAAATTAAGACCTTCTACAAAAAAGAAGATGTAACTTGGGTACAATAAAGCTCTACTGTTCTAAAGGGTCCTGTCTGGACTGCCCTTGAGGTGGTGGCGCTCCCGGACGTGGCGGTGTGGGCCGTGGGGGTGACCGCAGGCTCTCACTTGGACTCTCTAGCTTCTCTGCATGAGGTGACCAAGGTCAGGAGGGCCCGAGAGTGTGTAGCAGGAAGGGGGCGGCAATGGTGGCAGCCACGGCAGCGAGGAGGCCCAGGGTCGGTGCTGAGCTGCTGGCGGGCCCTGGAGGGTCCTGCTGTTGGAGCTGGTCGGAGAGCTGCAAGGGGGGCTTGGCGGTCCCAGAGCTGGGGGTGGGCTGGAGGGCCAGTGGAGGTGGTGAGGCAGTGGTGCTGGAAGGGAGGAAGCACAGGGCAGAGCGACCGTCAGGAGCTTCAGCCCGGGCAGAGGCCTCTGGGGCTCGGATCCGACTTTATCATATTTGTGTTTTCTCATAAAAATGAGATAAGGGGCTTGTACACGGAAGATGAGCCATCCAGAGCCACACAGCCACCTTGGCTAACCCACGGAAGCTGTGTTCGTCCTCCTGTGCCAGGATTCAGGGATGGGCCAGGCCCACCTGTGATCGATCATGAGCATGGGTCTCAGGCAGAAAGAAATCATGGTGTTAGGGAGGACGTAGCTCTGAGGTCTAAGCTTCCACACCTGTCCATAGGTGCCCCTGACCCCTGCCGTTGTTTCTCTTCCCAGAGAGCCGCTGCCTTCACCATGCTCATCATTACAACCATGATTTGCTGAGGATCCCCAAGTCCAGAACTTTACAAACAGTGTTTCTGGTCCTCACAATAAATCTTCACAATGAGTCTCATCACCCCCTTTCAGCAGATAAGAAAACCGGGGCTTAGTGAGGCCACCTGGTGCCCAGGCCACAGGGAAAGGTGGGGTGGTACATGTGTGGGGCGGGGGCCTCTCATGGCACCGCACTGGGAGTGTTAGTGAAATGTACAGTCATTCACAAATCACAAATACAGAATCCAGGTCCAAGGTAACAGGTGAGATTTTTGGCTCAAGAAAGTTTACATAACAGAGAGGGGAGGGAGGGAGCCAGAGGGAAACAAGAGGCGACATGACAGGAAGGACAGGGTGAGCCCAGGGGACATTGGACAGTTGGATGGGAAGGGCTGAGGAGCAGGAAAGAGACTTAGAAAATGTACAAAGAGACTGGAGGCAGCAGGGACCAGGGAACAAACGAGAAAGAGGACAAGGACAGGCGTGATGAAGAGAAGCCATAAGGGGAGCCGTCTGACAGACCTGTGGATAAGAGGGACAAACTCTGAGATGAAGAAGGGAGCCAGGACCCCAAGCCATGGCCAAGCCTGCCCACAGAGAGCCCCATCAGGCTCAGGTGGGGCGGCATGGTCAGCAGGTACACAGTGTGGGGGGTGCCAGTCTCACGGAGGGCCAGGAAGATGGCAACACGAGGAGGTGGGGCCTGCTGTTACCCCACATTCTTAGGAAGAAGCTGAGGCACAGGGGTTAACTTGTCCCAGAACAGATGGCAGGGCTTGGGTCTATGAGACAGGCTGGTAGATGAGAGGTGGGTGGAGCAGTCTCCAGGGGGTCTACAGCATGGGTGCCCTCCTGCTTCCTGGTGCTTGGCTCCATTCCTAACCAGCTGTTGACTCCCTAGATCATCTGGAGGTGCCCTTGGCTTACCCCTTTTGTGCTGCGCTATGAGGTCAAAACAGCTGGCCCTAATCACTGGGTGAGTCCTGGAACTTTCTCTACCACAGCCATCCCATCCCACCACCCTGGTGTCCTGGTGGGACACCCCTCACACAGCTCAGGCTCAGCTTCCACCTCAGTGGTTGGGCAGGGGAATCTGGAGGTCACCAAGAGCACCCTCCTCTGCCAGATTCAGGCTGGGACCTCGGCTTGGGAGTGGGCACCCAAGTGGTCTTGGCTACCATCTCCTGGTTCAATGGAAGCCAGGAGAGGAAGGGGTCCTTGCCTGTGGCTCTCTTTCCACCCACTTTGGGAGTGCTCTGACTGCTAGAACTCATTGCACCTCTCACAAGATTCTTTCCAACCTGGTGTCCACAGGTGTGATGTATCATGATCCTGTCTTTAGAAAGTCTCAAAGCAGCCACAGGAGAGGAGAAGTCAGCAGCACTTGTCCCACCAAGAGGACACAACATGGTGTTCCTGAACAGCACGTGCATGGAGGGTGGGGTGGGCCAGGTGGCTCCTATTGGCCCTTTGACCTCACAGCATCCAGTGTACTGTGCCTTCCAGCTCTGTAGCCTTCACACCTGCAAGCTGTCCCGTCACGATCTTGCTCCAATGCACTGACCACACCTTTCATGGTTCCCCAACACATACCCTACACCCAGAGTCTTGCTGCCTTTGTCCCACTCTCCTTCAAAGGCCTGCCTCCTTGCCTCTTCCCTGGGGGCCTTTATCTGTCCTGCAGCCCTCCATGCCATCTGGCAGAGTTAAGGCTCCCACCAAATCTTGCACATTTCTCGCTGACCTCATTGTGTGGCAGACGTGTATCACACGAGGTTTCAGTGTGGAAAGTACTGGAATACTGCCTGGTCCCTAGGAGGTGTGAGATGACGTCACCGATTTTTAGCATCATTATTATTTCTGTGTCTGTGTCTCTCCCACTTATGTCCCCTCTTTATGGACCATTTAGTATGTGCTGGGAGACACTGGGCTCAGCACTACACCTGTACCATTTTCTTATTATTCCCATTTCCATGATGGGCAAACTGAGCTTGAAGTAGGTGAGGTTTCTTGCAAGAGATGGGATGTCCAGGGCCCACCTGCCTCCCCTCCTGAGCCATGAGGAAGCTCGAGATGGAGATGTGGGGTTGGGGTGGGGTGCAGGTAAGGACTGTGGGGAAGGAGGGGACCCTGCAGCAGACCTCAGCCCCTGTGCCTGGCAGGGGTCCTTACCTCAGTCTCTACCCTGCCTTTCCTTTCTAATGAAATGAAAAACTAACAAAACACACACAACACCAAAAAGTCCATAAAAATCTCTTCCCTGCTGCTGCCTGATGCTTTGGCCCAAGCAGCTGGAGGCTTGAGGGTGGCTCAGGGGAGCAGGCTGGCAAGCCCTGAGAGGTGGCCGGGCCTGGAAAGGTGAGACCAAGCAGGAGCTGTGAAAACTTTGTCTCATAAGGCGCCTGAAGGCATTTTCTTTTACCCTTTGAAAACTGAGGATGAAAACTCCCCCTTGGAGCATAAGTGGGGTTTTTATTGCTTGGAAGGAATCCCAGGGAAATGAGGTGGGACTGGGGAGGGGGAAGAGAACCCCCAAATGCCCCTGCCTCACCTCCCTGTCCCATTCTGCTCACAAAGCTCAGCGCCCCTGTCCAGATCCCTGCCCCCTCCCAGGCTCATGCTAGGGGAAAACTGTCTCATGGCAAAGCAGCCTTGAGGCCAAACCAAACACCTGGAGCATTCCCAGGCTCTGCAGAGGACTGGCACTGTGGAGCCAAGTCTGCTCTGAGCCGACAGGGCCCCTGGGCCTGTGTGGAGGGCGGAAGCTCCACGCCAGCCTGGGTTATGCTCCTGGCCTGCTGTGAAACTGGGTGAGAGCTGTCTTCCAGGCCTCAGTTTCCCCACATATACAGTGAAGGAGCAGGAACAGACCCAGGCAGAAGCCCAAGGGAGAAAACACAGGAAAGCAAGGGTGGTGCTGAGACCGTGTTGACCGTTTGCCCCCAGGGTCCCTGCAGAGGGCCACCTGGAGCAGGGGCGAATCTCGGCCCTTGCCCTGGAGGTCAACAAGAATGGTCCAAGGTTAGCACTGGACATTGCAGCGTTGACTTTCTTGCCAATGCAATATTCTGGTGTCTGAGGCACCTTCTCAGCTTCAGGGGTCGTAGGAGCCTTGCTGCAGGGATAGAGCCCTCCATGTGACCTGGCTGGAGGAGACTCCATGTGATTACTGTCTGGGCCTCAGACTCTCTGGGTCCAGCAGGTCAGGTGGAAGCAGAGATCCAACGTAGCCACTTTGCCTAAAGCCTGATCTCCTGCAATCTATGCCTCAGCAGCCTCTACCCCTCGTCCCCAGGTCTCCTGTGCTGGGAATGTCTTCACCCTTCTCTTGGCTCACAGACCACAGACAGCTATCTGGCCTGATTCCTAAAAGTTTCATAGCAGGCCAGAGCTGGAGGGGCCTGTCTATCCCTGAGATGCAAAACTGAGACTCAGAGAGGAGATGGGAATTGCTGGGGTCACCCAGGATCTGAGGTTCTAGAGCTTTTCCAGTGGTACCATACTGAGGAGCCATTTGTCCCTGTCCCCAGCCTGCACCAACCACAGGACTGGGTAACTGGTATGTGCAGCTATACCCACCACACACAGATGCTCACCTCTCTTAGGCTAGGGGGCGTTCACAGCCTTCTCCTACGGTCCACTAAAGGGTCTTGAGTAGCTTTCTGCTGGGGAATGGGGAAGTGGGCAGACCAAACCAGACCCTGAGAGCCAAAGGCATCAACATTAGTGGTAGCTGTTACAATGTTACTGCTGATCTGACACCAGCTTAGTGCTTTACAGGCACTAAATCTGTTTTCCCCAAAGCACATTCAAGGAGGGTCTGGGATTTGAAGTGTTCTGCCTGAATTTGTTTGTGCTTATATTCCTTGGATGATTCTGTTTCCTGTGGGGGCATTCTCCAACGGGGGCATCTTCTACCACTCAGGCCAACCTACAGCATCCCAGGAGAAGTCCTGGTTGTGTTAGGGGAACCAGAGCTGGAGAATTTGGGCATAAAGGGTGGGCCAGCAGGAGGTGTACAGCACCCCTCAACAGGATGGGGTGAGAAACACTGTGACTCCTCCCCTCTGCTCAAACCTCAGGGGAAACAGACCCAGAGGGCAATGAGCCCTGGTGCAGTGTGTCCTGTACCCACAGAACCTGCCTGGCGGCACTCACCAAAGCTTTGCATCTGTCACATACTGATGCCCGCCTCTGGGCTTTGCTTTGGGCCACGCCCAGCACTCAGAAGCTACTCTTCCCTACACCTGTGTATTATTGCTGTCCTTTTAATCCTGATGGGCCAGCCACTCTGCTCGCTTGTTTATGCAACTCTCCATCCTCAGAGCACACACACACACACACACACACACACACACACACACACACACAGACACACACCTGTGCTCTTGAAGATTTTTGGTCCTGGAGGCCAAGAGCTAGCATGACCTCCAGACACCAGCCAAGGCCCTAACCCTGCCGAAGGAGACACAGAAGGATCACCACAGGTCCCCTGTAGCATGGGAAGGGCTTCTGCCCTGCCTTGCCCGGGTCACACTCCTCCCTGCTGCCTGCCTCTGGCTCTCAGAGATGGGCGATCCTGGAGAATGCTCTGCTGCCGTGCAGCCATCTGTGGACACACACTCAGCCCTTTCCATGGGTGCCATAAATCATGCTGCCATGGGCTGCTGCTTCTCTAAACTTCCTCTGCTGTGTTTACATTTCGAGTAATGGGTAATGAGGGCCGAGGGGAGGCCAGCCTGCTCCAGGTGGTGTCCCAGGCAGGCACTTGCAACCCACATCTCCACCTCACTCCTCTTCCTCATGTTCCACTCTTCAGCTCCTAAACCCCAGCAAGGCCTCAGGTACCCAGTGCAGTCCATCGCAAACACAGCCCAGAAACCCAGGGAAGAGTTGTGGTGTGGATGCTGGTGCCAGGGCAGGGACTCCCTTGGGGTGGGGGAGGAAGGGAGAGTCCAGGCAGGTGAAGGTGGGAAGGGCACAATTACATGATGGTAAGTGACAGGGGTGATCATTAGTGTTAGCCCTGAACACTCCAGGTTTCTATGTGTTCTTAGGCAAGTTCCCTGACCTGGCTAAGTCTAGTTCCTTGCTCATAAAACGGGTTGGCCTTCCGTGTCTCTTGGCAGAACTGGGACACCGTATGTGTGAGCACCTGGCACAGAGTGGAGCCGAGCAAACTCGTTTGTTTCACCCATCCTGGAGCAGAGAGCAGCAAGCTCACAGGTGTGGAGGGGAACAGACCCTGCAAGATCTGGGACAGGAGGAGCAGTAGGGGAATTGGGGAAGGGGGTGAGTGTTCTGCCTCTGGGCAGTTTCCCTGGTGGCTGTGGGGAAGTGCAGGATCACAAACTGAGCAGGGACGATGGTCAAGGGAAAGACCAGGAGACCTGTTAGGGCCCTGCTGCAGGGCTGTAGGCAGAAGAGGGAGAGGACAGAGAGGAGGGATGGCTCCTGGGGACTTAGAGGGAAGAAAATGAGAGAACTCTGAATGAATGCTCCAAGGAAAAGTTGTGTTCGAGAGTCTACAAACGTGTTTCAGGTTGCCCCCAGACAGATCTCTTCTGCCCTCTTGGAAAGTTGGGGCACCCAAGAAGGTGAAGTGAATTCCCCAAGAGCCAGAGAGCCTGTGCCCTGCACCTGGGCCTCTTGGGGAGCCCAGAGCCTGCTTCCCTAAGAAGCAGAGAGAGACTTTTAATCAATAGGCCGCCCTTTGATGGAAACTTCCTTCTCCACACTGGGCAGATGGAGGGGAGTTAACCAACCGCCATTTGCTTGTTGGGATACAGGAGGATTCTGTTGGAATCCTCCACCTAAGAAAAGCCGTTTTCTTCTCCTGAAACTCGGCTCTGCGTTTCCAATGTTGTACATAGAAAACTGTTCGGAGTCATTTTCCCACATTTACCTTTCAGATATGGTTAGGACCTGGGAACCTCTGGCTGGAGCTGACAGCCCAGTCTCCTGTCACCCTCTGCTGGCTGGGCCTCCTGGTCACCCTGACAAGTTGATCAGGTTTGCAAGTGAGCAAACTCATTCCAGCTCATAATTAGCTGCCAGCTCCTTCTCCTGCCTGGACCTTGCTGGCAGCCTGCAAACCCGGCACCCTGCCGAAGGAAGCGGTTCTCTGTAACTCTATGCCCCTGCTCCTAGTTAGAAGTGGGAGGGCCGTGCTGCTGGGTACCTGACGCAAATGTGTCCTCACCAATATAGCTATAACAACGCCTCTGCCTTGGGCATGCAGGGCCCAGGAGAGCTCTGAAGAAATATATTTCCAACAACCCAAGTCAGGTGCTTTGAATGCCCAAAGGCTCAGTGGGCTTGATACTGATTTTCTGGAAATCGCTTTAAAATAGTGCACACCCTGTTCTTTATGATGGGGTGGACTATATTGATCTTTTATTAGTGGCCAAGTTATCTGGCTGCTGGAGAACCAGAAATTGGAAAGTGGAAGGCAGCCCTGTTTCCCTGGATGGCCCTGGCCAGGCTCTCCAGCTCCAGGCCTTGCTTCATCCATAAGTACAATTGGGCCAGTGCATCCCCAGGCTCCTCAGGGGAACCTCCAGGTGCACATTCACAAGGCTTCCTGGGCTCCTGGCCTATGGATTCTGATTCATGAAGTCTGCACTGGGACCTCGGCATTTGTTTATTTAAAAGTACTGACGTGATTCGGTCCAGATTGTTGAGGAAAATTTTGGATGATATCTGTGGAGTCCAGATAGGGACTCTGGATTCCAAAGGTCTGCTGCTGAGGCATGAGGTCCAGGGCTGGGCTATTGTACTGGATGGGGCTCTGCCCTTTCAGATAGTCCTTCTTTGGGACATTCCCGATGCTCTGGTAACATTATTTACTACGTATCCAGATTCCAACCACACAGGGGAATTTAGGGAGATGGCACTGTATAGAAGCTGCAGGTGGAGGATGTCAGACATCATCTTGGTGACAGCAGGAGCTTTGGTGAAAGACACCCCAAGGAGGCAGGCAGGAGGAGCATACAGAAAGAATATGGAGGGTCTCAGTACATTAGATGATTTCTGCACCGGCCCATTTACAGTGAATTTTGCCACAATGTCCCTGTGACAGAGCCTCAGCATTTGAGTGTCAGTCCCCCCCGTCTCCTCTCTCATACAGAGTGAGTCCCCTCTGCAGCCTCTTTGCCAGGATGTCCTTGTTCAGACCTTCCAGGCACAGGGAGCTTAGGGCCTATGGTGTAACTGAGAGGTGCCGTTTGCTCCTAGTTTTGCCTCCAGGCCACAGGATAAATAAAGCCCCCTGGCATCCTGGATGCAGCCAAGGGAGGCCAAGTGCAAAGCAGGCTTATCTACTGCACCTGAATAAGTTTCTATTTTTTCACCTTTAAAATGCAGAGAATTATACTTGCTCTTATATCGAGAATAAAACTGCATGGTCAGATGTGAACGTTCTTTTGTGGGCCTTGAAAGACAACCCTGGGGATCCTCTATGAATGAGGAAGAGCCAGCCCAGAAGTTTCCACTCAGATACGCCCTGGCATGCTTGCTCAGAGCAGGGCTCACCTGGTGACAGTGCTCTGGCCTAGATGCTGACACCTAGCTCCGGGCCACCCCCTTGCCCTGACTCACCTGTCCTCGATGCGGACCCAGAGGTCGTTGAACTGCCTTGGCCGCTGGTGCTTGTTCTGCCTCTTGTGCCACTTCTTCTGTCGCCCAAACTCCTCCAGCTGGCTAAGGCTGTCGGGGAGCAGGAGGTGTGGGGACAGTGCTGGATCCTCTTCTTCAGGTGTGGCAGTGGGTGTCACTGAGGGTGCTTCAGGGATGGCAGCTGCTGGGGTTGCTGGGGCTGGGCTGGCTGAAGTCTCCTCAGGAGGGGGAGCTGAACTCCTGGCAGGAGGGCTGGAGAGGAGAAGAGCTCATGAATGTGTCATGTGTGCACAGTAGGGACTGTAATTTGGTGGGAAAGTGGACATAGCAGGAGTCAATGCCAGGGTGCACCTGCTGGGCCCAGCAAGAGCACTCCAGGAAAACCATCATCTGGGATGAGAGACAGAGCATTCATTCATTCTTATTTGGCCAATAAATCTTTATTGAGCTCCCATCCTGCAGGAGACACTGGCCTAGGAACTGAATATCAGCAGTGACTCAAACAGATGCCACCCCTGGCATCTTAAAGCTCACATTCCCAAGTTAAAGACGGAGGAAGCCACACAGGACGGCAGACACCCACAACAGGAAGGCACAAGAACATGAGGGGTGGAGGAGGGCGCTGATCCGGGAAGGTGATCTCTCACCACCGGTGAGATGTGAGCCCCAGGCTAGGGGGAGGTGAGGGAGGAGCCCGGGACCTTTCTCTGGGGTGTATCTATCTGATCTTGGTCAGGAGCTCACTCATCAACAACTCTGGCTGAGGGACTGTAGGCAAATTATGTAATCTCACCATGTTTTGGTCTCCTGTTCTGTAAAATGGGGACATGACAGCGTGTATCTCAAATGGGCTTCATGAGGATGATGTAGACAAACACAAGCAAAGTGCTTCTCACACTGCCTGGCAACCAGCTTGGCAGTCAACACTATTTGTATCTCTCATGTTACTTTAATTCATCCCACCGTCCATGCATGTGTTCACCATACATCTACTGTGTACCTTTTCAGTAGAGGCAGGACAGAGCCAGGTCCTTAGCCCTGGAGCTGGAGGCAGATGGATGAGAGGCTCACATCTGGCTCTGTAACTTGCAGGCTATGGGGCTGAAGGCTGGCTATGCCATGACCTCAAGGAGTTGGCTGTAAAAGGGGCGTGACACTGCTGGTACCTCCTCCATGGGGTGTCATAGGGTTAGATGAGGTGAAAGCTCAACATATTGCCCAGTACTCCCAAGCCTCTTTCTGATTCAGCCAACAAGCAAAAGGACCTGGGTGTTGGCAGGCAAGGAAGTGTCACATGGGCGTGCTCGTGGGGTTCATGTCCCATGTGAGGGTGTGCACGTGCGCCTCTCAGTTGGGGAACATCCTCTGGTCTTCTGCCCTTTCTTCTTTCCTCTCCATGATCCCAGTGGAATTCCTCTGGGAGGAAGGCTGAGAGTGTTTTCAAGAACTGTCTTGTGAGTGGGGTGCTTGCAAGGAAAGGAAAGGTGGTACCCAAGGCCACAAGCAGCCTGTCCTCCCAGTGCACTCCCACTGCACAATGACTGAGGGGTTTCTTCCTCTTTGAAGGCAAAAAAGGCCATCAGCTCAGCCTATCCTCTCCCAGCCCCCATGGCGATCCTGGATTCCCAGGCTCCAGGCTGCTGGAGATGCTGCAGCTGTTGGGGAGATAATTTGAAACAGCCAGACCAAAAGATAGATCCAGGAAGCACCTGTGGCCGTGGATGGCTTTTATTGCTGGAGCCTCCTCACCATCCCTTCCCCCCTCTGCCCTGCCAGCTGCCTGCTCCCCTGTGTAGGAGGCTAAGCCCAAGAACCCTCAGAGCAGGGATGGGGGTGTGTAGTGGGGGGCCCCGCCTCCAGTGCCTGGGCTCTGAAATGAATAGGAGGTTCTCCAGCCTCAAGCTTTGTGGGCTGCCTTCCTCCTGTGCCTTGGCTGGCCACACATGATGAGCTTCAAGAGGAAATGAGGGGACGCGAGGGCAGGGATGGGACGAGGGGAGCAGAGGGAACTTGAGGAACACCTTGACCCTGCAGCTACCTTGGATCACTCAAACACCCCTGACACTCAATACACACTGCTATGTACTGGGCTCAAGTGATTCCAGCACAAGGAGCAGTCTCTTAGGTTAATGCAGAAGATGAGAAGTGACAGGAGGCTGGGATGGAGTCACACACTAGGGTGTATAAGTTCTTCTGGAAGGACCATGCAGCCAGGGGAGCTTTGGTCTGGGGCTAGGAGACCAGTGACTTGTGTTCTGTGTGACCCCAGCAAGCCTCATCTCTGAAGATCAAGGTCACAGTCATCCCTGAGCCCCCATGCCCATCACTAGGGTGGGTACAGGAGTGATCAGGAGCTTAGGAGGACCAGGAGCCAGACTTGTCTCTTACATAAGCTGTGTGTGCTCCTGAAGGTGCCTTCACCCCTCTGGGCATGAACTCCCACAGGAGGACAGGATGGGGGACAGTGGCTCTGTGAGCAGAGTAGGGGTGCCTTGGTGGGAAAGTCGGGAGCTAGGGACACAGATAGAATTGGCAATGAAGAAGATGAGGACACTGAGTGTGGCAGCAGAGGGAAGAGGTCGGGATCCAGCACACCCTCTTGTGGCACTGTCTGGATTCTGGCTGGGGCATCCACTGAGTCCTCCAGGCAGCAACCCAGGGGTCACTTGTACCCCATCTCCCTAATCCACCAGTGTTAAATCCCAAGCTTCTTGTGAATCCTAGTGCTGCTCACCAGGATTCTCTTGAGGGATTTGCAGATTTCCACTGTCATCCTGACCCTGCCGAGACCCCAAGAGAGTACACACAGCTTCTCCCTGTTCTCCCACCTCCAGCTCCCCTCTGGTTGTGGTGCCTGGTCTGGCATGTCCCTATGAGGTCTCATCTCACAACAAGCTTCTTCACCACTCTACCTGCAGTCCTGAGCAGGAAGGAAGGCAGGGGCAGCCAGCCATGTGGTGCATGGTTCCATCTGAACCGTGGCCAGGCAGCAGGAGGTCAGCCGGCCCAGTCCTAAGATGCCCTCAGGTGCCCTGCTGCTTACCTGTCAATGGCCTGCCCAGCAGGTGTGTGGTCCACCTCCAGCCCTGCTTGCCGAAGGACGTCAATGACAGTGTTGTTCCCCAGAAAGTGACCTGGAACACAGACACAGAGTAAGCTCAGCCACATGCCAGGCTTCCAGTCAGTGGGGACACCTTGGGCCACCCCCTGGCTTTGGTTTGGGCCAGTAAGCTCTACCAGTCAAGGCCCCAGACTCGCTGAGAGGTAGTATGGCCCAGTGGGTAGGATATGGTCCTGGTGCTACCATGCCTGGGTCCATGTCCTGGCTGTGCTGCTCACAAGCTCCCCGTGCCTCAGTTGCCTCATCTGCAGAGTGAGATGATTGTAATGTCCTTCCCCAGGGTTGCTCTAAGGACAATAGCTGGCTGGAGCTGAGGCCTCCAAGTGGCTTCCTGCTGCATCAGTGTGTCTGTCTCCTGGACCACGTCGACCCTGCCCCTTCTTTCCAGTCTCACAAGGTCCAACTCCAAGAAACCCTCCAGCCCCAGCACGTCCATAGCTCATCTTCATAAGCCACACTGGCAAATTGCACCTCTCTCTGTTAGCGTGGAGTGGGGTTCTGTGTGTTCACATGGGTCCGTTTGACAGGCCTCATGGGCAGAGCTCACACAGCTACTGCCTTGCAAATGCTCAGCGCAGTCAGCTAGGTCCAAGCAGTAACACGTTCATCTGTTCACCACCTATCTCCCCAGCTTATGTGGAGCACACATGGCCCAGGTGCCAGCATGGCCACTGAGAACTCACTGAGGTTTAAGGTCCTAGTGGGAGACAGCACACACTACCAGTAGCCTAGAGTGGGTACAAAAGAAAACCATCTCTTCAGACATGGCCTCCAGAAGTGTGTGCAGGGAGTGGGGCTGATCTCCTTCAGCACCCCACTCACTATTTATTCCACATTTAGGACATACTCTCTGTGTGGCCAGCTCTGTGCTAAATACTGTGAACAGTGAAAAGGATAATTTAATCCAAAGCCCCAAGAGACAGGGGAACCGGCCTTCCTTCACCAGGATGCAAGCGCCAGTCTGGGAACTCAGGAGAAGCCTTTTGGGGGTTCTGGCTAGGAAGACTGCTTGGGAGGCCAATGACTGTGGACACAGGTGCCCCTCTGCCTCCCAGGTCTTCCCACCTTTCCAATGTGAGCAGTGTCAGTTTGGAAGGGTACCTGTCCAGGTGGCGGGGCCCTCCCCACTGTGAGTCTGCCCTGCAGCCCCACTTGCCCGGGTGGCACTCTCTCCTCCTGCTCACCATTCATTGCTGAACCTGGGGGTAAATCCTGCCCCCTGACTCTGATTGCCTATGACAGGTGGTGACAGGTGGGAAGTAGGGAGGTCAGCATACTGACAGCCCCAGGGAGCGGGGGGCGGGGGCAGAGCGGACAAGCTGGCTGGTGGGGGCTGCAGGATTCCAGCACAGAGGGGCCAGGGGGCCTGCACAGTGGCTGCCACCTTGCACACCTCCCCCAGCCTAGCCATCTTTCTCTTCTGGCCTGCCATAGTCCCTGCAGTCACACATGGGTGTCATGGGAGAGATCCCTGGATTGGGAATGGCAAAGGGTTCTAGCCCAGCATCTGCTCACCCAGTACCTCCAGTGCCCTCAGTTTCCTCTATGTAAGAGGAAGAGTGTTCAGAGGCCCCTCTAGCTCAGTTTATGGGGGAGGTGCTTGTCTGACTCTAGACCTTTATGAAAAGATATTTCACCCTTCTTTCCTGCTCTGACTGCATACATAGCGAGTGCCGGTCAGTAGTGAATGGTATGAACAGCAATGAGGTGATAAGAACAAAGCAGGGGAAAACACAGAGGCTGTGAGGGCGCCTAGGGAGGAGGCACTGAGCCAGCCTGGGGAAGGGCAGACTTTCTGGAGTGAGCACTGGTAGTCAGGTGAGGATGGAGGGGGTAGCACTGGGCAGGATGCTCTAGGCAGGTGGCGCAGCATGCGTGAAGCTGAGGGAGGAGGAGGCACGTGTGGGACGCTGGCTGCAGAGGAGACACGCACAACCCAGGCATGACCAGGCCCTTCCAGGCTCGGGCCCTGACCTTATGCCACTGAGGACAGAAGACACAGGCTCCTGCCAAGCTCTGAGCCTTCCCCTCAGCCTGCGATCCTTCCCTGCCACTAGTCTCTGCTTCCCCATGTGTCAGACAGGCCAGTGGCCCTTTGACTGGCTCTTTGAGCAGCTGTGAAGCCATCCTGAGGCAGAGGAGTGAATGTCCTTTGGAAAGGCCAGAGTGCCATCCTGAGTGATGAACTGAAGATATCCTTGGCTTGGACAGAGCCTCCCCACTCTGGCATGCCCCGTGGCTTAGTTGGCCAGGAAGGGTACAGGGAGTGGTAGCCCCCAGGACGAAGATTGTCTCCAGGCAACACCTGGCCTCTGCTCTAGCAGCTTCCACCAAAACCTGTTTTTAAAGACCTGGGCCTTATGGCTCAATGGCCTCTACCCAGAGGATCTTAAGAGCCACCAGGGAAGACAGAGAGCCTCAGGTGCCCAGGAGCAGCAGCAGTCTATTGACTGCTGTATGCCCGGGACCAGCCTAGGGACACTGAGAGGGTCCCATGCCATGGCACAACCCTGAAATGGCTCTGACCTTGAGGGCCTTTCAGGATGGCTGCTGGATCCTGAGCAGCCTGAGGCAGTGTTTCCCACATCTACTCAGTGCTCCGAGCCATTCACTCAACCTCAAGGCTTTCAGATATTACTGATTTTCTGAAGGCCCCAAACAGAATACTTGAGGTTGTGGCAAAAATGGAAGCAATCATTTTGAATTTCCATCCTTTCTTTCTCCTTCTCCAAACCATGCTGTCCTCTTTCTCCCCTACATTGGGAAGAATGGTGGCCCTACTGCACTTCACACAACTCTGGGAGGCAACATTCCAAGCAATTATGCCCTGGGACTACGCTGGTGCAGGCTGTGCACGCCCAGCCCACGTGCCCACCACCCACCCTCTCTGTGGCTTGGTCTCTGGGGACCTCCCAGTGGGTTGGTGACAGCTGCATCTTCCCAGTGCCCTCCCTGCTCTGCTCTGCTCTGCCCGCTTCTCACATGCCCTCCCCACTCCATTTGTGCCCTCGGTGGGCTCCTTCTTCCTGCCTAATAAATGGAGGGGTGGGGCTGGGTCTCTTTGTCTTTACTCACACCTCAAGCACAAACACCCCACCCCCACCCCATGTTCAGTTCCCATCCCCATGCCGATGCCTTTGGAATTGTCACCTTAGCTCAGCTCCCTTTGTCCATCCACCTATGGCAGCTCCACCTAACCCTCCACAGAACCCACCAATGCAGCTCGCCCTCTCTCTGCGTCTGTCCTGGGCTCCCACTGGCCCTGCTGGCCCAGCCAAATCACCCTGTGTGAACTCTTCTTCCTCCTCATCCTCCTACAGTCTCTATAGAGACCCTGATGTCACCTCCTGGACACTCACACCTGTGCCAGCAGAGACCACTGTGTTCTTGCTCCTTTCTTCTCACTGCAGCTAAAGTGACGTGCCCACACCCCAGGGCTGACAGCTGGAACCTGCTCCCAAGGACCCACCTGAGGGAGGACTGGGAGCTCTTCAAGGGCTGGGCTAGGCCTGATCCATCCTTGTCCAAGAGCTAAGCCTGAATCAGGCACACTTCAGTACCCTGCAGTGATTGTTGAATGAAGGAGAGACTCAACCTCTTACTCCATATCCTTTCCATGATCTCATCTTATGCCCAGGAGACCCAAGTCCCCTCCTTTCATAGCAAAGCCCTGCCCTACTCACTGGTGATGCTCCTTTAGATTCCGCCAATCCCAGATGCCTGGCCCTGGCAGCAGCCCCTGAGCCAGGGTGCAGCTCATGCTGTCCTCAGGGGCTGGTAGACAGTGCTTAGGCTTGCCTCCAAGGTCAGAAATCCTGAAAAAGGACCACACCCATCCCAGAACCTGCAGAAAGGTTGTGGAAAGTTTCCAAAGGGCCCCATGGTGCTGGGGCTCATCCAGCCTGGCTTGTCCAGGCTCCCTGGGTCTCCTGGCCACTGCTCAGCAGCTCTCTCCAGCACTGACTTCCAGCTGTTTTCTGGCCAGCACTCTGCAGGAAGACATGTTCCATTTCATCTGCTGAGGCTCCACAGACAGCAGAAGGAGGAGAGGGAGAGAAAGGATCATGGGCGGTGGGCCGGGGCGCATGGAACCCTGGAGACAAAGAGGGAGGTCAGGAGAGAGTAGAGAGATCGCAGAGGAGCATGGAAGAAGAAGGGAGCTCTGGGCAACAGGTGGACAAAGAGGAGAAGGGGAGGTGGGCTAGAGATGGACGGCAAGAGACAGGGTGTAGGGAGAGAGGGGAAAGAGCGATAAAGGGGAAAGGAAAGACAGAGATAGAGGCAGAGACAAGGACAGGGCAACAAGATGCAAAGGTATAGAGAAGGAGAGGGAAAAGGAAAAAGGAAGAGGAGAGGGAGGATAAAGAGAACCCGAGGATAAAGAGAACCCAGAAGCTAGAGCCAAGGGCATGGTGGAGGACAGACAAGTCATTGAGGCATCAGGGAAGGCTTCCTGGAGGAGGGGCAAGTTTGGCGGGGCTGCAGGATGGGTGGACATGGATGGAGACATATGGGGGAACGGGATGGAAGGAGGAAGATGTGTCCAAAGGGCTCCACAGTCTTCAAAATGGTGAGGCTGGGTTGGTGCCTATCTCCTCTCAGACAAGCCAGGGTCCCACTTCAAGGGCATTTACTTACAAACAGGAAAAGCTGCCCTGCTCAGCGGTTATAGGCCCTGTGTGTTTCAGAGCAGACAGCAAAGTTCACTTTTACCGGGTGCAAGCAGGCCTGTGCTGGGGGACAGTATCGGGGGAGTAGAGTGCAGGCCAGACCTAGCCCTGAACATCTGCTGGGGACACCCTGACGCCCCTCAGTGATCCTCTACTGGAGAAGGCAGGTAGGACAGAGCGGGGACAGACACCTGGCTCTTTAGCTGACTGGGTGGCCTGGGCAGATTCCTTCCTTCTCCGTGTTTCACTTTCTCCACAGGGTCCTGGGCCTCCTGGTCTCCTCGGTCTTCGAACCTCTGTGTTCCCTCATGTGGTGACCACTGGTGCAAGGTGCTTTTCAAGTGATATTTCATCTCATCTTTGTAGCCACCCTTGGAGGTGCCCTTAGTCTACAAATGAGGAAACTGAGGCTCGCCCAGGGGATGGGACTTGCCCAAGGTCATACAGCTGGTAAGAGACACAACTGAGGACCAACCCAGCGATGTCTCAGTTCACTCCCAGCTCCAAGACATCCACTGTGAACTATTGGCAGCTGCAAGAGATCCTGAGTTCATGTCTGGGGGCAGGAAACTGTCAGAAACCCGTGTACCTTCCAAGGTTCAGCAGATTGGAGAGAAAAGTTTTCTAGTGCTCAGCAAGAACAATACACCGATTAACAGGGCAATTTCAGGACCGTTTTGGGAGCTGGGTGGAGAAGGAGGGAGAACCAGATGTTCCTACACAGGCTCCAAAGAACTGCAGGCTTGCCTGGGCCAACACACATGTTTTCTCTCCAGTGAGAATGATGGGTTTCCAGTTTTCTCCTCCTGGAAGAGGCATCCCAAGCCCGTATTTATGTTCCGTCTGAAATTAATGCAAGGGAAACTTCTAAATGTGAATCTCACTGCCAGAGCAGCCTACCGGATATCAAGCAACAGTAGGGTTTGTTTTCCCAAGGAAGTGTGACAGGAGGGTTGGATGGTGGGCCAGCGGAGGGCTGGACAATTGGAGGCATCCAGGGCTCTGGTCTCCCAAGGAGTGTGTTGCAGGGAAGTGGCAGACCTGACCCGTGCTTCCATCCTGTTCTCCTGCTGGCCTAGGGCAGAGCTGGGGCTTCTGAGCTCACTGAGGACTAAGATGACTCCGTCTCTCTACCCAGCTGGTGCCGGGAGCTGTGCATCCCCCAAAGAGATGACCACGTGGAAGGGCAGGCCCCAAAGGAAACACTTACAGGACTATGCTGTGCAGTGATGGAGGGGAGCCAGGGACCACGAGGCTGAAGAGAATGGGGTGGAACCAAAGGAGGAGAGGAAGGCACAGGAGGCAGGCCAGGCACAGAGCAGAGAGAGACTGTGTGGTGTCTGCTGGCACCAAGAGGGGTTCTGCAGTTGGACTACAAAGTGAGGTGGGCTTCTGAGATGGATGGCTGGGGCACGGGGGACGAGCCCTGGGATTCTGAGTGCTGTAGGACAAGGTGAAGGGACACCTGTCAGGTGGGACTTAAGAGTGCAGTTGGAAGGGAGGGAGGGCTCCAGCCCCGGAGGGATGTAAGGCTGATCAGTGCTTGTCAGCATGCGCCGGGCAGGGCATACTCAGACATCCTATAGGGACTGTGATGTCTGGGTGGAACTGGAGACCCACCTCCCCAGCAGCCTTTACTTCCTGTTCCTCTTGGAGGCTGCTGGAATGGAAAATGTCAGAATCAAAGAGCCCTAAGAAGTCCCCGCCAACACTGCAAAGGTGGATGTGAATCCCAGGGCAGCAGCCCCGCCTCCCACTTGTTCAGCACTCAGAATATGCCAAATGCCTTGATTCATTTCTCATTCAACCTCCCAACAATCCTGCTCAGGGCAATGGAATTTGCCTCATGTCACACAGGCAGAAAGGGGCAAAACTGGGCTTCGGCCCAGGAATGGCACAGGGTGTGTCTGTGTCATGGCACTTTGTAGAGGGAGCTGCTTGCAGAGGCAGGGGCTCTGGGCCTAGGGAGGCTCCTTCTGGAGCAGCGTCTGCCCTGGGACCCCTGTCACCTGACTGATGCTTGCCCAGGCTGGGGTTCTTCCTCAGGACCTCCTGTAGGTGTGGACTTCCTCTTAGAAGCATTCTTCTTGGCTCTTCTAAAATCCTCAGGGTTTGAATCTTTCATCGCATTTTGTTTGTTTAGAGGCCAGGCAGCGGCCTGCCTGTGAGTGTCCCATCCCAGGGTGATGACATATCAGCCCTGGAGGTTATGAACAGCCTGGGCCCTGAGGGACTAGCCCCCCCCAAACTTGCCTGGGATCTATTCCATGTCAGACTGTGCCAGGCCCTGGGACCCCAAGATAAGTCAAGGTGGCCCCCTTTCCTCTTGGGCAAGACTTCTCTCAAAATAGGCAATGGCTTTGCACAAGACAGAGCTTGTCATGGGTTCTGTGATTGCAGGGTTCAGTGCCCAGTGTAGGCTTCACTGTGGCTATGGGGATCACTCTTTATGACATCTGGAGACTCCTTTCCTCAAAATACAGCACCTCAGGACTCCCTGGGGCAAGTGACAGGGCAGGGACAGGCCTGCCACTCCTGAGCCTCATGCTTGCTGGGAGCTGATGCTGGCTGTTGGGATTTCCCACTTCTGCCCCCCTCCAACTTGGGGGTCCTTCTCTTTCCTGAGCAGGAGTCCTGTCCTAGGAGGACTGTAGGCTCTTGGGACAGGGGCTCCTGAAACAACAATGGCAGTACCAGAGGTCACAAAGATGGAGTGAGGATGCTGGCCATGCATGTAGTCCTAGCACTCTGGGAGGCTGATGCGGGAGGATCACAAGTTCAAGCCCAGCTTGGGCAACTTAGCATGACCATGTCTCAAAAGAAAAAAAAATGGTTGGGGATATTTCTTAGTGAAAAGGCTCTGGGTTCAATTCCTGTAACACACACACACAAAAGAAAAAAAAAAGGAAAGAAAAAGAGTGATGGTGTCATGCCAGGCAAAAACCATTCAGTGCTAGCCTCTGACTCCCAGGCTTGTCTCAGAGGGGATCCGAGGGCTAGGAGACAAAAAGTAACTGACCTGGCCTCAGTCTAGCTTTGAAGCCCATGCTTTTAATCCATGACCTCGTCTTTTCTTGCCTTCCCCATGCTGTCCAGCAAGAATGTTGAGCCCAGAGCCATGATTCACAAGCCCTTCTCCACTGACAGCACAGCCCCAAGATGCAGCCAGGACAGGGGGCATTCTGTTCCCCTCCACTCTCCCTGTTCCACAGAGGGGTCATGGGGACAAACTCAGAGGAGACGTTCCTCTGTCTGGCTGGATGCTCTGGGCTAAAAAAGGGCAGTGTCTTTGGCCAAGGATAGTAGTTCATAGCACGAGTGCCAGCTGCCAGATGTCTATGTGCTGGGGTGGGGCTTTTGAAGCCTTGTCCTTGGAAACTCTGAAACACTTCTGAAGGCTGTGGCCTTGAGCTCCAGCTTGGGGAGTGTGGCAGACAGTGGGTGCCCAGGAGAGGAGAAAGCAGATGATGTGTGCTGCCTCTCATCCTTACTCCTTAAAAGGCCCTACGGGACCCTTTAATGATTCATAAATATGATGCTTGGGTGTTTGTGTCATCACATGAAATGTACCTCCCTCTATACCTTGTTACATCATCAGCACATTACCTGCTTGAGGTCAAATATAAAATAAAATAAAAGGTCCTGAGTGGACCACGGCTGTTCTTCTGAGACCAGCCACGAGCTCTGAGGCACTCCCATTCCTGAGCTACTGAGTAGAGAACCAGGGGGAGAAGGAGGTGGTTGTAAGTCTTATTCTGAGGACTGGGGGGACGATGAGAGGAACTAGAAGTATGGTTGACCCACAAAAAGGAGATTTCACAGTGCTCTCCTTCTCCAGGAAGCATTCTCTGACCTCACCTGCTTCCTTCTGTCTTTTCTAGCGGGCAGGGCACCGCTGGGGCTGGGCTGGGAGGGGCCTCCAGCACTGCTTCCTCTAAACCGCTCACTGTGCAGATGGGGCCAGAGGAAGGCTCTGAGAGGGCCACAGGGAAGGTCTCTGAAAGCACAAAGTATGCAGGATACCAGCAGCTTCCCCTTTCAGGCCTCATGTCCTTGACTTCACTCTCTCCTGCCCTTCTTTCTTTCCCTCCTCTATGATTCTCTCCCTAAAAATCTTGCTGCTTCCTCTCCCTAAAACCTCTCCTGCTTAGCATTAAATCCCTCCTGCTCCAGCCTCTGTCTCTACGGCTTACTCAACACGACCTGGGACTCTCCCTGTAGTGGGTTCCAGATCTTTTCATTTGCCATCCAGCCTTATTTTCCAAAGGGCGGATCTGATACTTTGCGAGTCCCGTCATACACAGCAGATGTGGGTCATAAGCCTGCTTCTGCTGTGGAGTGATGCAGGGGCAGAGGACAAGTCTGCTTACAAGCTTCCGGGTCGGTGCATTCATTCCTTCAGCAAGTGAGTAGTGAGTACCTTCTCAGTGCACGAGTAGAGCACTAAGAGGGGAATCTTGGACCACTGTGGGAGCCCAGCGGCAGAGGACAAGGGCCTTCTCAGCAGAACAAAGGGCCCAAGCAGCAGCTGGACAGATTTTTAGGGAGGCTTCCATCAGGAAGAATGGCCTAGAGAACCACCGTCGTTTCTCTCCAGTTCTGAGGCTCTGGCTTCCAAGCTGCCCCTCCACACACGTGCCTGCCAAATGGAATAAGAGGTACCAGCCTGTCTCCCTCCAGGAGGAACTGAGGATGTGGGGGTCAGATGAGCTGATGACTATGGGCGTTCTTCGAGGGGGCTGGTGTCACTTCTCCAGGGAGCAGTGCAATTGGTATTAATTAAAAAGATGTTAATGGTGTTTGGAAGGTTGGGGTTCTATCTCTCCCCACAGTCAAGTTTGGATATTAGAGTTTCCCTGGCCTAGCCCTGAGTTTGTCTGGCTCATGTCTTTACTCTAGATCCTTGAATTCCTATACTACTCATTCTATTCTCAGGAAAAAAAAAAAACTAAACTAAAAACTGGAGGATTCCTGGATGGCTGAACAAGTAAAGATCCCGAGAAAACCCATTTCCTTGAAACTAGGGATAAAACTGTCATTTTTTTCTAGTGTTGAAGACAAACACTCCTGTCCACCTTCACAAGGGCTGTGGCCCAGGAGACACCATGTGACTGAACAGAAGGAAGGCGATGGTTCAGGTGTCTTTCTAGAACACCCTCCAGGTGCTGGAAACCTTGAGGCATGTGGGCTCTGTGCACACAATGGGGGGTCACTGAGCAGTGGGTGCTGGGATGAATCAGGAGACAGGCCTGGGGGACAACATCTGCCTTTACACCTCGGCTGTTCGGTGCTTCGGGAGAAGATCTTATGACCTGAAACTTGGCAGGGTCATGGGCCCTCCTTCCTGGCAGGGGTGTGGCAGGTATGTGCCCGAAGCCTGATCCACAGCAGCCATTGGATCAATCTGGACTCTTCTCGCTGGGGTCTGATGTGGTCTAATCATTCTTTACAGCACCACACTCCAAGCAGCCCCTACTAATCAATGACAGCTGGCCCCTGAGTTAAAGTCTATTTAACTTTCTGTCCTGGTCAGGTCTTGCGGCCAATCTTTTGCATTTATATCAAATGTTCTCCTTTCTTAAAACCAAGAACCTTCTTATCCTCTTCCCTTTTCAGGGCAGGTGGCTGCATCTCCCACTTTAAAGAGTGGCGCTGTGATTAGAAACCATCAGCTGGGAACCTGCTCACCTTTCCACCTCCAAGATACCTGCCTGCTGGCCTACTTCCTCCTTCCCTTCAGTTTCAGGTGAGGAAGTGCTGCCTGCTACCCAAGGACAAACTACCTGAGCTCTAGTCCCTCCTTTCCTGCCTTCTTGGAACATCTCTCTTCCTATGAAGCAAACTCAGCCATTCTATTGGATTCTTCCATCATGTTTTAAGCGTGTTAATTATTTTTCATATTTAAAAAAATGGTGCACAGTGTTGCATTCCAATAATCCCAGCCTTCTGGGAGGCTGAGGCAGAAGGATCACAAATTTGAGCCTAGCTTGGACAACTAAGTGACTTAGTGAGACCCTATCTCAAAATAAAATCAAAAGGGCTGTGGTTGTAGTTCAGTCCAAAGCCCCTAGGTTCATCCTCAGTTCTCCAAAACACAAAAAAACAAAAGAGAAGAATAGTGGAGATAAATATAGTTACTAGATTTTTATTTTGCCAAGTCAGGACTTTGAGACAACTTTCTGCCTTCTATGACCATCATTTCTGTAGATAATTTCAGAATGTAAGATAAACCTGTATATTGTTAAAAATTTACCATCATATACTTATTTTTCACAGTTACTGGTAGATCAGAAGAAATCCAAGGACACCCCCTCCCATCTCCAAGTGACTGAACCGATCCTGTGGGGCAGGGCCTCGGGCTCAGCTCAATGCATGTGCCAGCTGGGAATGGGCTTCTCTCCCCACAGGCCAGCATAGCCCATCCACAGAGCAACCTGCATGTCCCAGAGCACCTGGGCTAGCACACGAGCCACAGCCAACTCCCTGAGAGGTGGGGCTTCCATCTGAGCCCCAAATGCTATCTAGCCTGCTCTGAATTTCACACTTACACCCCAACTGCCTCCAAGCCTGCTGAGTCATCTCTAGAAGAGGTCACAGTGCCACACTGCCAAAACATCACAGACACCGAGAAGAGTGTTTTTCTGTGAGAAGTGTCAGCTAAATAGATACTCTTTTGCACACAACTGCCAGCATTTCTAGATGTATACAGCAAGGATGCCTTATGCAGGAGAAATGGCCTGGCCAAGAGGCCAGGGTTCAAATAAAAGTTCTGCCTGCATTCATACCCTCTCCACCTTAGCTTTCATCTGAGAAATGGAGATACTGTAATAAAACCATCTAGTGGTGTTGTTGAAGAGCTTAGAATGGCACTTAGGAAGGATTTTATTCTAAGAATCACTCCATCATGATAGACAGTTTTAATCCTATGATCTAAAATGAGTGAGTCCAGCATAATGCAAAGAGGCAGCCATTATCCCCATTTTATGGATGACAGAGCAGGGCCTTAAGGCGAATGGCTTTCCTGGGTACCCCGGCTGATAGCTATAGTGCCATGCTTTGCAGCCAGCTCGCTTGTCTCTAAGACTCTTTCTCTATGTACTGACGTCCCGGGAGAGCAGCACTGAGGCGGGCTGGGCTGTCCTCACAGGCTCTCAGGGGATTCTGGACCTTGGGTGGGTAGGGGTGAGTCTTAAGAAGCCCTGGAGGAGCCAGGTGAAGGCTCAAGCTTTTACTTTTGCTTGCTGGGTTCCTCTCAGAACTATGGGCTACAGAGCCTTCAGGGCTTCAGCTTGACCCCCCAAACTGGGACTGTGGTGAGAGGGCAGAACTGTGTAGGGCCTGGCTTGGACACCTGCTGCGGTTGGGATGCCCGCGAGTACATTGCTGTTTCCTATGAGACACCCATGGAGTCTGGCTCTGAGAAACTGAGAGAGAGCTGAACACACCTAGAACTGGCTAGATGTCTTCCTAGCAGCATAGACCCTGCCTCTCTTCCACAGCCTTGGGAGTCCTCTGCTTTCTCAGAGGACTCAGCAGGGAAGGAGCCACAAGTGGCCCACTGAGCCCTCAGGGTCTCTGCTTAGCAGTCCGGAAAGGCTCGGAGATGGACCTGAAGAGGCAGCAGACCGGAGCGAGAGGAAAGGATGGGGTGATTGCAAGTGGTAGTGCACAGAGGGAGTATGTGGCCCTGCACATAAATCCTGCAGCTGTCTTCGGGTGGGGACTCGGGAGTGACATGCCCATCAGAGCAAATGAGGCAGGCGGGCTCCTCTCACTCGGATTGCTTGTGGACATGAATGTGCCACAGTTTACTGACTCTAACAGTTCTGCTCTGCTGGCTTGGTGCCCTGCGCATGGTAACACATGGTCTGGGGCCTGTCGGTTGGTCCTGGATCTGTCTCCATCTCACAGTGAACTTTGCCACGCTCCTGCTCCAGTGGGCCTCAGTTTGCCCATGGCTATAAGGAGGTGGGCAGGCTGTCAAGTCCTGGGTTGAAAGATTTGCTGCACAGAGTGGGCCATTTGTTCCAGGTGTGGCTGAGCTTGGAGAAGCAGCAACCACCAGCAGGCCCGATCTGCACATGGCTTCAGAGCTGTTGTTTATGGATGGATGGCGGGGTCCCGAAGGGCCCTGGCTGGGCTCTCTGTGCCCTGACTTTTCTACTGCTCTAGCCTAATGAGCACACTAGGCCCAGAGGAGGCCAGGATGGGAGGCTGTGCTCAGCATTCATTCATCTGTTGATTCTTTCACTCCTTCACTCTTAGCCACGCACCAGGTCAAAACCCGGGGCACACTTCCAAAGGCACGGTGATGACTAAGTGGAGCCTGCCCTCCCACTGCCCAAGGGGAGAAAGACAGCACCATTCGCCAGTCAGTGTGGGGAGCAGTCTGGGGCTGGAGGTGATGGAAGCTTGGACCGAGACAGTAGCAGGGTGGGCAGACAGAGTGAATGGTGGTCTTTCTGGTGCCCATCAATAGGACCAATCAGCAATTGACTGAATTTTGGAGAAGGAAGACCCTGGGGTTAAGGATGGTGCTTTCAGGCTCACCTGGTGCTTGAGTGGGCATTGATGCCCCATGGACTTGAAGTTTCAGGAAAAACAAGTCAGTTTCCAGGGCTGTCCGTGCTGCTGATTTTCATTTTTCTAGTCTCAGCTTCCCTAACTGTAGAAGGGAGCTGGTTCTGGGGCTCTCTGGGCCTGGGTGACTCCGTCCTGGGCCCTGGGGCAGGTAGGGTGGGGGGTCCACCCAGTCAGGTGAGGCAGCCGCTTCTCACAGTGGCTGTACCCGCTGGGGGCTCCTCCTAGGCCTAAGAAGGCTGACTCAGGGTGGCTCCCCTGTGAGGCCAGCTGAGGCTGTTCTAGTGCAGGGTGAGCCGGAGGAGGAGGGAAGGCAGGTGCTGGGGACACTTCCCTGAACAGATCCTCAGAGCGGTCCTGCCTCATGCCAGGCCTATGGCAGGTGTCCCACTGCAAAAGGGTGGCCCGATTCTCTCCAGGTTTTCAGTCAAGGTCCTGCTCCCACTGGCTCTTCCAGAGCCCCCTTCTCTGACATCTGCATGTGGAAAACCCCTGGAATCCTAGAAAATCCAAGCGAGTCCTTGCTCGTCCTGTTCAGATGAGCAGACTGAGGCTATGAGAGGGGAAGGGACTTGGCAGAGGCCGCCATGGGCCGTGTGAGCTCCAGTGTGAGCCCAGAGCTCTTTCTGTCCAGCTGAGGTGGCCCTGAGGAGGCTGCCCCACAGGGCTGGTATGCATGCCTGAGCCCCTCTTATGTGCCTCTACCGTGCTGGGGTCTGTAGAGGAGGGAACGGTGGCCTAGGTGGATGTGCCTCTGGCTCCTGCCCTTGGAGTACTTGAGCTTAAAGGGGGCCACAGACATCAAATAGTGGACACATCTCATTAAGAAATCAGCATGTCCACGAGGGTCCAGTGGATTAGGCTGACTGCTGGATGTGGAGGGTGTGTGCGCCTGACAGACCAAGAAAAGAGAGGCAGGGGACAGCAGCAACGAGTGTGGCACAGGCATGGTGAGCACAGCTATATGCCATCTCTTAATTCTCACAAGACAGGAGGTGAATCCTTTCAGCCCAAATGGCAGGCAACAAGAGCAAGGGCCAAGATGGGCTGAGTACCCTCCTCCCTGGCCAGGGCTCCAGTGGCCTTGGTCATGTCTCTGTTGAGTGTGGCCACCTGGGGTTTGAAGGAGCCATGGAAATCCTCCTGGACTAGGCACAGGTCACTTCCCTGGCCTACAGGAACAGTTAGTAAAGAACCTTGACCATATTGGGGAGCTGCTTGGGTCCCAGAGCTGCCACCCAGCACTATGCAGCTGTCCTGCACCCTCCTGGGACTTGGCTTTTCCTTGATGGAGTGGAGGTCAGGGGGCCAAACCTGCTCCAAAAGCGAAGAAGCAGATCTTGTCCTCGTTCTCCTGCAGCAAGGCCATGACCCTCTTCCCCATGCGCTCGTTCCTCTTGTAGATGAGCTCCTGGCGGAAGTAGCTGTCGATCTCCTGGGCTGTCACCTGCTCATGTGGTGGGAGGGTGGTGTTGATAAAGTTGGGCAGCTGCAAAGGCAAGACAGAGGCTGCCTTCAGTTCTTGATGGGTGGGGCAAAGTGCACGCTGGGCAGGGTTGGCGATTTACCTTTCCTGGGCTGACGGGACATCATGTTGTATATGTGTTTCTCATCTATCCCCAAACCCACTGGGAACAGCACTGCTGCTCCTGCTTTACAGGTGAAGCCAGAAAGAGTGGAGAAGATCCCAGGACATGCAAGTAGAGTGGCTGAATGCCCCAGCAGCTGGACTCCCACGGACAACTCCCATGTGTCTGTCTGGTTTAGCTTCAGCTCCCAGAGGCTGAGGTCCGGGGAGACTGGGACTCAACAGCTCTCATTTCAGCCCTGAGCCCAGCACTGGCATATGCCAGGAATTCAGATCAGCAAGAGGGTATGGAGAGTCAGCCAAACTGTCCGGTGTAGCAGGAAGGCCATGGGGTGGGCTTAGGCTGACCTGAGCTTCAGCCCCTATTCTGATGCTATGTGGTGCTGGGTCAGTTATTCACTTTCCTGAGTACTAATTTTCTCATTTATAAGATGGCACTGAGATTTTTGTGAAGATTAAATGAGATAATGTGTGCTTCAGAGGGTGCCACACTATAGAGATGGGAGGAGTCATCCATCACCTGTGGTTTTTCCCATGTCAAAGTTAACATCTACCCACCCCTGGCTCCTCTACCTGCCAAGAAACAACCCAACCCCACAGTCTCTTCCTAAAAACTAACTCCAGGACCACGGCAGCCCCCAAGATGATGCTTATTCAACATCTTGCCTTGGAACTGAGCAACTTTCCTAGCTCTGGGCCCTGCACCATCACCTCCCTTGCACACCCAGCCCCATGGACTGGCAACCACCTCATGGATGTGCTGTTGACTTAGGCAGAGGGCTTCCAGAGTTCAGGGATGGGACCTTCCTCATTCTGGGTCACAAGTGCTTGGCTGGGGCTATCAGGTGCCCTTGGAACTTGAACATGAGGTCATGTTGCCCCTTCCTGACCTCAGCTGCCCTTCTCGTGTTCTTCCCTGCCAACATTTCACCCTTGCAACCTGGATGGCAGGTCGAGATGTTCCAGCATCATCTCCTCTAAAACACATGTGAGGCCATTAAAGAAACCACAGGACTGAGTCATAATGTATCTTCTCTCTCATCACAACCTGTCAGTATCATTACAACTTTCAAGCTCTTGCTCACGTGATGTCTTCCACCTTTCATTCTCTCTTCTATTTCTCCAACTCCCCTCACCCAGGCACACAGCAGAAGACACCAGGGCTAACTGGCTGATGGACAAGGTTGTTGGATGGTGTCGACTAATTTTCTGCAGGTTTTAGCTGCTAGAAAGGTCAAGCAGCCCAATCACATGGCTTCTAGAGTCACCACTGAGCTGCTGACACTCTTTCAGAGGAAATGGAGGAGGTAACAAAGACTGAACCCTAAGGGACTGAGGAGGCTGAGACATCTGCTGTGTGCTGGCTGAGGATCAGTGGGTTTCTGAGTGAGAAGTGCACTTTGGGCTCCTGTTAGAAAAGTAGGATTCACTGTCTGGATGAATAAAACAATGATTTGACTGGTGTCTCCTGACTTATATAACGTATGACTTGCATAGCTGTATGTAGGAACACTTAGTTCCCAATGGGCCAGCAGAGAGCTGGTGCCCAGGGACTTTTTGTTTGGCCAGTGGATAAATGCGGCATGGAGTTATTACCATCCTTGTGAATTCCCTACTAAGGAAGGGGCGACAGGCCACCCTGACAAAACAGGTCATGCTTGACTTGATCCAGCTATAGAAAACCCCAAAGGCGTCTGTGTGGGAGAGGAAACAGAGAGGCCATGACGCGCAACGTTATTTGTAGAAACATGACTCTTGAAGGCCACTCTCCATTTCATGTGTGGGGGTGACAGTTCGAGACCATGTTGTACCGCAAAGAAATACTAGTTCAGTGGACGAGTGGCTGAGTGAATGAGTGGAGAGGCGGTAGCAACAGAAAGATTAGGCAAGTCCTCAAAGTCCGATGGTGGGGATGACTTAGGTTGGAATCGCTCTTTTGCTGCTTACTAGCTAATCTTACTAGAGAGTTACTTGGCTGCTCGGAGACTCAGGTTCCAAATTGGTAATATCAGGGAAATATACACTTTTATAGGAATTAAATAAGTTTGTTTTTAAATTGCCCAAGTTGGGCTCAATTTTTTTTATTTTATGAAACAATAAAACAAAATTTCATAATCAAATAATAAATGGATAACAATAGTTAATATACTGTGAATTGTTATCTTCAAACTCGGTACTCAGAGTACAAGACATAAAGCAAAAATATTCTTACAAAAAACAGATAACACAAACTTTCTTTTCAATAAACTAAAATAAACTAGTATTATAAATGAAACAATTAGCATATATGTTGAAATATTTTTTAAACAATGGAATTTGTATTTTGAGAAAATAGTTGAACTCTTAATTTGTATTTATCTCTCTTCTATTATACTCTCTCTTTCTCTCTCTCTCTCTCTCTCTCTCTATATATATATATATCTTTCTCATATGGGATAAACTATCTGATATTTGAGCTTGTGTGTCTGACCTATTTAATTTATCATTATGTTCTCAAGATGCATCCATTTACCTATGAATGCCTCAAGTTTATCTTTCTTTCTTTTTTTTTCTTTCTTTTTATTTTTTAACAGAAAACCACGTATCATATCCCTTTTTACCTCTCACACTTTTATTACAATGGCTTAGCATCTATCCTATTTCAGCATTTTGGATTTCCTCCTTGTTTTGTTTATGAAGGCAACAGGGTCTGATAAAGATAATGCTGAGGAAGGGATACGTGGGGTTAAAGAGAAAGGGAAAATGATTATATACAAACTCTACAACTGACTTCTAACATGAGCCACCCAACTGAAAGCAAAATCTCTCTCTTTACAGGATTTACCAAGCTCTTATTAATGTCAATGTGCCTCAAGGCACACATTTCCCTGATGCCAACTCACTTTTTTGGGCTGGGGTATGGGGTCGGATTTGGCAGCAAAATAGAAGAACAGAAGCAGCACAATTGTCTGGAGAAAGGAACAGAAAGTTAAATTAAACTTTTTTAAAAATGTTATTTTATTGGTACATTTTAGGTATACAATATAATGACATTCATCACTGGAAATTTGCACCTTTGCATAATCTCTCTTGGTTCTTATTTTTCTCCCGTCCCCTGCCCTCCCTTCAACCCCTCCATCACTTACAAAGACTATTTCAAAGACTTTGTTTCCATTTTTTAATTTTCTCATATTAATTCTATTCCCTTCTATCCATTCCCCTAACCCTTCTACTTTCCCTTCCCCTTTGCCCCTTTTCTTCCTATTTCACA